GAATAAACGTCTGGAATGCCGAAGCAAATATAATGTTAGAGCAGTAGCACTGAAAAGCTATTAATCTTTTAGGGAGTAACAATAATATCTTGACCCACTGGTTTAAAAATATGATGCATGATTTATAACCATCCAACAATAATTGTTGATCAGCTTAAATATGTTATCCCTGTAATACACTTGTTCTAAGCTTTTAGTCCTTATAAAAACTTTCTTGTGGTTTTGGTCTCTAAACTTTTATTTTACAGTTTTAATCCTTAATGGTATTTTTTTAGTCTTTATAAAGTTGTAAAGTTTTGATATTGGCCCCTCTTAAATTAAACGATATTCATTTTAGCCCCTTTTATTTAAGAAACATCAGGTCTGTTATCTAATAGATAGTTACCACATATTAGTAAATAGTGACAGGCACTAAGACCCTTAAATAAAATATTATAAGGACCAAGACAACAAGAAAAATTTTATAGCGACTAAAACTATAAAGCAGGGACTGGAAACATACTTATGCCTTGATTCAATATATCCAGTTCATTATGTTTTATTCTTATAATTCGGTAGATTTGTTAGATTTACGCATGAACAGATTGGGTGGTTGATGATAAATGGATACAATTGCCACTGCTACTATTACCATATGAAAATTTAAAAGAAATTGTAAATTCCAAATTTTCAAATAAATAATATAAAGTAACAGAAAGGAGTTCACTAGAGACGAATAGCTAAACCTGCTTATCTCTATTTCCAACAGATGCAAGCCCTATGAAACGAGTGACATGCACAGCATCTACGTTGGAATATGGTTCACGGGCATAGTATATACCTTTAGTGCCTGCAATGTGATAACTACCCCCAAAAAAAATCATGAGAAAAAACTGCAATGGCCAGAATCAGCCTTCTTTTACAGAGGCCACAAGAGAGTCCACAAAAGGCACATTTTGCATACCAAATTCCTCCATGAAATATGGCACAAATCCTGATCTATTCATGATTCTCGCATAGCCCTAGTCTTGTAATTTTAATTAATCTCATGCTTATTAACCCAACCAAATCTATTTACTTTTTACTGCTTGTGAAATTGTCATTCCCAGTTACAAGGACAACAAATGCAATATCAAAATTCACTATCCTATAACAAGTATACGGAACATGATAGAACACAAAAGCCCTCAAGTGAACAAGGAACCAGTGGCCTTACCCTGTCAAATCTCAAGTGCACAATCCAACCAAAAACTGTGAAATGTAGTTCACGCATACAATTCTATTCATTAAACATAAAATGCCTAAGATGTTAACTACCTTTATGGTAGTTCCACACAAAACTTTCAACAACAAAAAATGTAGCTGATGTCTATCTAACAATTACCGTGGTTTGATCTCTTGCACTAACTCTGATATAGTTGAATCACTGCCGACAGCCTCAGAGAGTCCAGCAGGAATGTCCGAAGCAGCTGCTCTATTGGTCACCCCACTTGGCCATTCGTTAGTAATAACAAATCAAGGAAGTGAACAAACAGAAACACATTACATCTAGCCATCTACTTAGCTTATATACAACGTGAGATGAGAAGTAACTAACTAAGAACCTGTTTGGATAAATTTATCCAAAAGCAGTTCTAAGAGAGAAAACTATGAAGAAAAAGAAAAAGAAATAAACTTCTCCATAAGCTAATTTATAGAAACTCTTTCATTTTATATAAATTTTATTTTTAACTTATGGAAAAGATAATTCTGATTTTTCTTCCTATTTATTTTTTCTTTTAGAAGTGCTTCTGAAGGAGTTTATCCTGGTCCTAACTAACTAATCGTATTCGTATCATTACATGAGTAATGCACATCAATTAAAGGATATGTCAAGAATAAATCAACAATTCCAGGTTCCTCAGCAATTGCTCGCAAAGCATCAACATCATCTTCAGTGTAAGTCCCAAACTGTTGAACACTGGAAGACTTCCTACCAGATAAATAGGCCACGGATAACCCTAACATACAACACACGTAAAACCGCTGAAGAAGAGAAACGCAAAACAAGATAAAAGTTGTGGTCGAAGCAACGAACCGAATAGGGGGAATTTGCCACTGCCTTTCAACCAATACAAATTATCGCAAATCTTCAAACCGTCCATCTTGAAGCCGCGGTTGGCGGAGTCCTTGGAAGCTTGCAAGAGAATCTTAGGGGCGGCGAGGCCGTAGTCGCCGATGAAGTAAGTCGGGAGGGGAACGACGGAGCCACCGTGGATGAAGGCCGTGAACTCCTCCAGATGCTCGGGCGAGTCAGGGAAGAACTGGCCGACGCACAAGAGCGCGTCGAATGGACCTGCAGATTTGTTGACCTAGAAGCGCATGAAGCGAATTCAGTGCCGTGGCAGTGATGAATGATGAATGATGAATGAAACCCTAGAAGAAAGGAAAGAGAGAGTAACCGATGAGACGCGCTTGAATAGCTGGTTGAGGCGCCCCAAAACGTCGCCGCATAGTAGGATTCGAGGGGCCATGCCAACACAGTTTCCGTCTACCTCTTCACTCCAACTCCAACTCTCTAAGCTCAACCTTGCCGTTAAACTACTACGGTCCCACACACAACCCTGTTTTTTTAAGCCTTTGGAACAGTTAATACTTTTCAGGTTAATTTAATTCATACCTAAAATTTATAAAATTGCACAATAGTCCTTCAAATACTTCAAAATATTATCATGAATAGACAGAATTGTCACTCAACAAATAAAATAACATAACTATACAGTTGCCAAAACTGAAATAGTAAATTAATCAATTTATGACATGTTTGGATAATTGGACTCACATTCAAATAAAAAGTATATTAATTGGAATGGAAGTTACTTTTTTTTTATAGGAGTTAATTATTTATATATTGTTAGTGTAAAGTTTTTTTATATTGATAATTAATCATATTTCTTAATAATGTCATGTTATTTGTTCATTTAATTAAATAAAAATAAAATAAAATAATTAAAAAAATATAATTAGTTATTAATGTAAAAAATTTTACACTAATAATATATAGATGATTAACTCTTTTTATAAATATGAAGAGCGAAAATGATTATCACATTCTGACTTAACTTCTAACATAAACTTAGTATTCAAATTTGTAATAATTATTTAAATAGACCCAAGGATAAAATTACTAAAATATAAACTTCATATCTATCAACTAAAATTTATTTGTTGTTAGATTTTGTAAAATAAACTATACCACATATATTGATAAAATAAAATATAAAAAATAAGTTCAACGGATAATTTTTTTTCTTTTATTTCAAGTATAAAAATCTCTCGTAACTTTTGCTTTATCTCATTTTTTAGTGAGTCCTAGGTCAAGTTGCTTTCAAAAACTAAAACAAATTATTATATTTTTTTGTACAACTTTCAAATTTTTGTAAATTATGTCTTTAAAAGAATTAGCATATTTTGAATTTAAATTTATTTAATGTCAAAAATGTATCCTAAATTTAGTTGGATATCCTAAATTTTGTCTCGTACAATTTAATATTTCGTGTATTTTCTTCTAAAATGCAATTAAATATTTAAAAAATGATAAAAATGATGAAGGTAGGATTTTCCTTTTTCACATGTATCAAAGTCACCATGAAATTTAAATTATTCAATATATATAAATGGTCAAAATAGTAAAATTATAATCATTAAATTATGTGATATTTTATGATATGTATGTTAAATTATACATTATTTGAAATATTTTATATATTTTATCTACCAATCAATATTATATATATTTAAATATCATATCATGTATTAAAATAAAATAATTTGATGAACTATTAGATAATTTTTTAAATGTATAAAGTTTTGTATATTTGATATAATTAATAAAAATATCAAATACAAGAATTAGATCAATTAAATTTGTATTATTTAAAAAATTATCAAATATGAGATTTTACTGACTTTAATACTTAATTACTGTCAATTTATCATGCAATTGTTAATTGCACATTTGCACTTCAAATTTCATAACTGCAGGTGTATGTTTATATTTGTATGAAAATTACTAAAAGTCAAGATAATAATTTTATTTATCGAAAACTTTTAATTTTAATTATACTAATTTATTTATTAAATTATATAAAAAGTTATTAATAATAAATTTTTTATACATCCCCAAACTTTTATTTGGATAGTAGTTATTCAAAGAAATTAAAATAGGATTATATTTTATAAGCTATTGTACAATTTAAAGAATAAATATTTTTATATGTTTAATAAAAATAAAAGTATTTAATAAATATTTTTTATCATATTAAACTTTAATATTTTCCATGACATAAATATATTTTTTAATAAAGAGGTGTAACTTATCAAATGTATTAATAAAAATTAAACGATTATAAGATTAAATTATAAATGAATAAAAGATGATACAGTTTTTAAAAGTAACCTATATTTTACGAGAATAAAATCTCATTTATTTATATCTAAAAAAACGCATTAGAAATTTTGCAAAACTCGTTAAATTTTTTTTTTTGTTTTTGGTTAATTTACAGTAGTTAGAACTTATCATCTCAAACATATTACTTTATAACCTCACTATCGAGCGTACTATAGTGGTTTGAAAAAAAAAATGTATTTTTTTTTCTCTATAACAATGAGAAATGTGAATTTACAAGATTCAAATAAATTTTTTTATATTATTTAGAAAAGTGACTTAAAAACATATATGTATGGAACACCGACTGTTATAATACGATATTGCAGGAACTACAAGAACATCCTGATTAATGATTAAAGTTTTGCTTTTGTGTGATAGTGGATGCTGATTGCTTCAACATTGGTTGCTCCACTCTTTATCTTAAAAGGAAATGAAATGACTGGTTGGTCTTCGACTCTCGGTCAAGCGATGACAGATGTCAATCATTTTAGAAAAAATATAAATTATGAATCGAGCTTTGTCAACATTCACAAATTACTAAAATTATTACTATGTAAGCTAAGTTTACTAATTTTTATAATAATTGTTTTTAAAATACATTAATAATATTTTTTAAATTAATAATGCAAAAAAATCATAATGATAAGGTATTACCATTAAATTTAACTTTTTGAGTAAAGTATAATTTTAAAGTTTATTACAATATTATTAGAGTTATTAAATCATTTATTATGTATAACACTTTGCGTTTTTTTTATTATGTGTTATTTTTATCAAATTTTTTTGTTGTGTTGTGTTGTTGAGAAATTATAGAAATAAGAAATTTCTTGTAAATTTTAGGTAGATGAGAGTTTTTTCAAGTAAAAGTTTAGTTTGACCTTGAGGAAAAAAATACTTAAAACTTTTATTTAGAGTTGAGTTTCACAAGTTCTATTCTCCAAAAATTTAGAGAGATAATCCTAGAGAGAGGAGCTTTGGTTTTTAAGAAGCTTTCTTCCTTTTTCTTTTTTTTTTCTTCTTTTTTGTAGCCCCTGAAGCTGTGGAGACTTATGGTGGAGTAACTGGTAAGTGATTTGAAGCTATTAGAGTTAAGGGTTTGTTGTTGGTAAGGAGTTTTCTCAGAGTTTGGTGTTCTTCTTCCTCATTCTTCCTCTTTTTCTCTATTTAGAGATTTCTAAGGTAAGGAAAAATATAATTAAAATTTTTGTTAAGTGTTGAGTTGTTATGCATGAATGAAGTATTATTTTGTTGGTTAGATTCAAATTGAATGACTGAGTTGGTTAAGTTTTGGTATGTTGAATGTGTTGGGAAAAGTTAATGATTTGTGGTGATCTTTGGTTGCATGTTGGATTTCTTGCCAAATATGATTTATTATAGTTGTATATGTGTTGTTGAATGCTTTGCATGCTTGAGATTGGTTGGCTTTCAAGCAAGTTGAGTTAAATTTATGAGTCTGCAAGTGTGGATTTCATTATTGCGTTGAATGAGACTCATGTTAGAGACTTTTTTGCCTCGTTTATATTGAGTTCATGATTGATGGCGCCAAGCATGGGTTAGGGAGAAGTTTTTGACTTGGTCATATCAGACATGATTTGAATAACATTGAGCATTAGAAGAAAGAATCATTTTCGGTTAAAATCACATCGAGCGCCGATGAAGTGATGTTAATTGTGGATTAACTTGAGGCTCTCTACTAGGTTGGGGTTGAGCATGGGTTTTTATCACACCATGTCTGAGGTCCTAAGGGTCTCTAGATAATTGACATCAAACGCAAGTCAAATGGTGTCGGGCATGGGCAAGGTAAAGAGTCCCTACCTCATATAGTGTTAGGCATGGGTTGAATAACGCTTAACATGGGTTGTTTTTATTTTAAATTGTTTTGTGATGAATTTGGTAAACATGTTAGGATAGTTGGACCTATTACATGTTATATGTTGTATATTGTTGTATGATATTGAATCTTTATACATTGGTCTAGGATAATATTTAATTGATTTTGTTGAGTTAAGTTTCATGTTATTTAGTTAAATGGCGGAAACTTGAGCTTAGTTGCATGATGTTGTTGAGTAGTTGAGTTGAGCATGCTTAATTTGGGTAGAGCTAGATGAAAAGTTGTTTTAAAAATTTCATATCCCATCGTGAGGATATTAAGTTGTAGTGTTCAAAGAGTCCAAATTTGTTGAAAAACCCTTTTTGAGAAGTTGAACCTTAATGAGGATAGCTAAATCTCTTTTACGACCTTCGTTGATGCAATATGTGGGTTAGGTTGAGACATACCTACTATAATCGACCAATTGTTGATCCGTATGCAGGTAAGGTTGAATCATACTTGTATAAGTGACCAAATTAGAGTAAGATACAAGGTTGGGGGCTAAAATCCTTAACTAAGTATTGAAAGAACATAATATATGAAGGATAATCGACGGTTAATCTCATATGTGACTTAGTTATGCTAACTAATATCGTCGTAAACTCACACCCAAATTGTTCCATCCTAACATAAATACTAGACTTTCTAAGTGGTGACATCCGAGAAACCATGTTGTTAGAGATTCGTATCTCATTTGGCTGTTGATCTATTTATATTGAAAAAATTAGATTGTTAGTTTAGTGAGGTCAAATTACTTAAATTGTTCACTTGTGTAATGTTGTAGAAGATGTCCTAATTGAAATGTGTGACGACACATATAGTTACAATTTTGTGCGTATGATGTGTTAATTGAATTGTGTTCAAATGCGATGTTGACTTGTGATGAAATGTGTTGTTGTGTTGTGAATTAAGATGTTGATGTTATGTTGTTCAAGTTGATAGTGTGTTGTATTATGTTGAAAGGTTGTAAATTGATATTGTGTTGTAGGAAGTTGAGTTGTTTATGTTGAATTTTTGAACTCTAGCTTACTGTTACATATTTTCATATATATTAATCTGTGATAGTTATATTTTGTATGAGAGCAAAACAATGATAAATTATGGTTGGAGACCATGTTTATTAGCGAAGCTGTTAATTTTGAAATTACTTGTATGTAATTATTTTGGTTGTATTTAGTAAGCTAGATAGACTATTATAATTATTATTTATTATCTATATTATTGTATATATATATTTATATACTTGTATAAAACTGTATTTTTGTTGAAAACTCTAATAGGTATATATATATATATATTACAATACGTCTTTCTCATATATGTTTAGTATAATAATTATAGATTTAGTTGATATTTTATACTGTTAATTATGAATCATTAAATATAAGGAATATGACGTATGATTACATTATGTATTGTGAATATTTTTATATAATAATTAATTATGTCTTTCATTTTAGGCCTTACTTGTTTTTTTTACGCTCCCTTTTTCATTTGCGTGTTACTATAATTTAGAGTTAAAGAAAAAATGTTAAATTTTATTAACTTTACTTACTTCAATTGCAATTTAAAATCTATTAACTATATAATTTGTATATAATATTTTTCACTTCAAATCAAAATTGATGTAAACTTATTGACACATTAGAAAATTCAAGAGTATAATAGAAAGGCACATCTGTTATCAAATCACACTTTCAGTATTTGTTATCAAATGCACATTAGATTAATTTGATCTCTTATATCCCTTTTATATATATATATATATATATATTGTCACCCTTCA